CGGACAGGCTCAGGCTGAGCGGGGCCGGGGCTGACTCCGTGTGCTTTCCCCTTTCTCTCTGTGCATAGCCAAATGAGAAATGCTGAAACATAAAAAAATTAACCTTTTCAGAACCTTTTAAATATCACGGTTGGGAATTATCTGCTGAAGACTTAGAGGAGGAAGCAGAAGATCTGAGTGCTGAAAAGGAAGATGAAGAAGAAGAAGAAGAAGAAGAAGAAGAAGAAAAAGAAGAAGAGGAAAGCGGCGGCTAACGCGGGAGATGGTGTGTTAACCTTATAGCAAACAGCTTCTCTCCCAGGGCTGAGTTATTCTTGGGCAGCCTAAAGGCGCCGCGGTTGTGTTTCCACCCTGTCGGAGATGGGTCCAAGTGCCATGTGCAGGTCAGGTGTGTGTTAGAGCCCTGGAGGTTTCAGCGTTACCAGCTGTAATATTTGGACTCTAATCAACACTAAACTGGTAGCAGGCAACTTAATTGTTGCATAGGATTCTGCTTTGTGGCATTCAGTTTGGGTGTTTACTGTGCAAACACATACCCTGTGTTTCAGAGCAGAGCTCTGGGTGCTCTCTGTGTTGGCTGTGCAGCCTGTATGGCTTTTTAGCAACACATCCAGTCTTTGGCAACATTTGTGTATTAGGAAACTAAAGTATACTGGAAAATTACCCCAAAAAATAGCATCCTACAAAAATTGCTAGATTTACATATATTTTATACATATATATCTATAGCTATTTATACAGACATATATTTGTAAAGCTTCCTTATGCATTTGACTGTTGTGGTATTTGTCATGGTTATGGCAGTGAAGAGGTGCTTTCATGCTTTGAGGATCCAGGTACTTAAAATGTAACAGAAACATTATATTTCACATATCCTGAGCACAAACAGCATTACAGATAGGAAAGGATTTTATAACTTGTATCTTGTTTCCACAGAAAATGTTGTGTGCTATACATTCAGCTTCCTTGTTTCACTATGCAAAAGGGGTTGTGTGGAAGGAACATTGGAATTTTTTGCTCTGTGCCTCAAAAAATGCCATAGAAACCTTGCCTCCCCTCCTTCGGCTCCCTTCAACCCCATGGAAAAGCATGAAATTCAGTGGAACAATTTTTCATGATTAACATGTCCTTTGTTTCTCAAACTGACATGTTTTCTGTAAAATAACACCCTAGAAACAGAAACCAAAAAAGCAAAAAGTGAAGAAGATGAATCTGCAGAGGTAGATGGAGATAAGCAGGATTCTGGAGAGAAAGAAGTGGAAGAGGAGGACAGGGAGGAGGATGAAGTGCCCAGTTTACCACTAGGTTTAACAGGTATCTTGTGTTCTCTTTTTCATATATGTGCAAAAACCCAAGTTCTAGCACTTTCTTTTAGGGCAAGTGGCTGTTTTCAAATTAGTTTTCTATGTCAGGTGTTTGAAAAAGTCCTTTGATTTTTTTCCTAAAAGTCAGTTTTAACTGGGTAATCTCAGGGGACAGGTGGAATTGATGAAATAAGTTTAAATATTTTTCATTTTCCCTCTCACTTCAGGTGCTTTTGAAGACAATTCTTTTAGTTCCCTGGCTGGTGCTGTCAGTGAGAATACCCTGAAAGGCATAAATGACATGGGGTTTACACACATGACTGAAATTCAGCATAAAAGTATTAAGCCACTTCTGGAAGGCAGGTAAGAAATCGGTCTTTTAAATCACTCTGATGACCTGAATGTTGTGTGACTTTTGCTAGCAAGTTAAATACATGAATCATAGAATAGAATCTTGGAATCTTTAAGGTTGGGAAAGATCATCAAGTCCAACCTTTGACCCAGCCCTACCTTGTCAGCTAGACTGTAGCACTAAGTGCTGTGTCCAGTCATCTCTTGAACACCTCCAGGGATGTTGACACTACCACATCCCTGGGCAGCCCATTCCAATGCCTGATCACCCCTTCAGTGAAGAAATTCCTCCTGATGTCCAACCTGAGCCTCCCCTGGTACTGCTTGAGGCCATTCCCTGAAGTGTGACTTTCTGCAGCTAAACTTTTGGGGTTTTAATACATTCTCAGATGTGTGTATTTTGTTTGTAGTGATTAATACAAGTTAACAAAGTATGTCTGTGTTGTGTGTGAACAAATACTTAGGGTGAGCTCATGGTAACTGCTTTGCATTTGGCTCTGGAAGCAGGGAAGTCTGTTTTCACTAGTTTTGTTGTCATTTGGTCTCAAGGAGAGACAGAGTGGCCCATTGCTGTGTCCTGTATCTGCCACTGAACTCTTAACATCAGCTCCACCAGTGTCCTTTAAGCCATGTTAGACTTTTACATTATCAACATTGCTCTTTTTTCTGTCTGGTCAACTAAATATTTCCTTTTTTATCTCTTCTCCATACAGGGATATTTTAGCAGCTGCAAAAACAGGCAGTGGCAAAACACTTGCGTTTCTTATTCCTGCAGTAGAGCTCATCTACAAGCTGAAATTCATGCCTAGAAATGGTAAGGCTCTTCATTTCACAGCTGAATTGTACTCTGGCACAGTCATTTAGGGACATGGCTAGGAGGGGTTTGGATGAGTTGTAACTTACTCCTGTCTGATTGATGTGTCTTTTAGGAACGGGTGTCATTATTCTTTCCCCCACTCGAGAGCTTGCTATGCAAACCTATGGAGTGCTGAAAGAACTCATGAATCATCATGTTCACACCTATGGTCTGATAATGGGGGGCAGTAACAGATCAGCGGAAGCACAGAAGCTTGGAAATGGAATCAACATCATTGTAGCAACACCAGGAAGGCTGCTGGATCATATGCAGGTTGGTACAAAATTGATGTCTAATCTGCGTTATTAAAACGTAATAAAACTCCTGTCCCTGTCTGACTGTGAATTTGTTAATCTTCTAGAACACTCCAGGTTTCATGTATAAGAACTTGCAGTGTTTGGTAATTGATGAGGCAGATCGGATCTTGGAGGTTGGATTTGAAGAAGAAATGAAACAGATCATAAAACTTCTACCAAGTAAGAGGAAAAAAAATATCTCATTCCTGGAAATCACTTGACTAACATTATGTCTTCTTTCTGACTATTGTTGTAAGAGAAGTCATTAATTTTTATAGTTCTGCAAGTGCACTTCATAGTGATGGTCTTACTCTGTCCTTTATTTTCTAACAGGTGGTGTATATTACTTGTTTAGCATCATTTGTCTGTAGGACAAGTGTTTTCACATGCACTTCAGAGATATAATTCTCTTCGTATAAGATCCTTTTAGTTTAACATCTACGTTTCCTCATTCTTTTTCTTCTGCCTGTTTGTTTCCTGTGATTCATTATTTCCTAATGAGATTTAAATATAAGGAAAAAGGTCTTCTGGCTTGCAGTTCAAGATTTTTTCATACCTCCAAGACCAGTATCTTAAGGAAGTTTAAGTATTTACCTTAAATTTTTCTTTTCCTAATTTTTCATTTAGTTTTTCCTTATAATTGGTATATTAAAC